CGAGTGTTCAATGGGCCTCCCACTGGTAGCCTGTGGCCGCTTAGTAGGTCTGGGGCTCTGCCAAGGGATCATTTGCGCTGGCAACAAGCAGACCAGTGAAGTGGAAACATCATGTCTGATTTATGGCAAAACTGGTACAAGCTTCAAGCCTCACCGCGACATGCAAGAACTTCCACCGCACCAGCACCAGGCCGCATTGATGAAGAAACAAACAAACAAACAAACAAACAAACAAACAAACAAACAAACAAACAAACAGACAGACAGACAGACAGACAGACAGACAAACAAACAAACAGACACACAGACAGACAGCAAACCAAACCAAACCAAACCAACAAAAACCAAACCAAACCAAACCAAACCAACAAAAACAAACAAACAAACAAACAAAGAAAGCCAGCAAACGAAGGACATTCTGCGGGGGCGCCTTCTCCGCGCGCATTCCAATGCAGCGGCCACCGGAATCTTGCAGCGTGTTGGTCCCCGCGCTCGTGCTCGATACTCTCCATTGCCTTGGGCTGGAGGGAGAATCTGTCTCTAAGATGGTTTCGTCCAGCCCCAAACCACTACTCCCCAGGAGTCATGCGGGATATATGTTCGGGGGGAGGGGGGCCTTCCCTTGGGGTGGGGGGGGCGGGAGGGGGGGTGGAACATGTATAGCATCTGTCGCTTAAAAAGTGGCTGGTGGATGTACATCATGACCTCTGGGGCGAGTGGTTTGGGGTCGAAACCATCTTAGAATCTGCAATACCGATGTCTATGACAGACTCAAGGGGCATCACGTGCAATCACCAAGGGAGGCATCGGAAAGTGCGTTGCCACCAAATCCCTGCAGAGCCCATTGCAACCTGCAAGATTGTTGTGCCTATCCGCCCACCCCCTGCTCGACAAGGTATAGTGGCTTACTTTCACATCCAGAAGCGTGGCAACGTCAACTCGAGTGTGCTGCATCCAACATGGGCATCATAACACCGGGTTCTACTATGGTGTTTTAAAGGCTTGCATAAGCCCTCACTAGCATCCCTTGTAAACCAGGCGGTAGAAGGGCAGTGTTGTGTCACTCAGATGCATTAATCAGGATGGCGGACTGATATGCAGGTGACTCCTCCAAAAACGAGATATTCCAGCAAAATTTGGACACCGCTCTATTCATCAACAAGGGTTTTATGGGTCAACATTGCTCTCCTGCGGATGAAGGGAATCCCTTGAGCTAGGACAAGCAGTTTGCCATTCATGTGAGTGCAGCCTTCCTCTCACTAACATAGCACCAGTAGTGGGGCGGGGCCCGGGGGGGGGGGGAACTAGAAGGCAAAACTTGCTTGGAAGGGACCCATATACCCGTCAGATGCAATGCAATGTTTTTAAGGGAGTGAGGGATTCTGGATATCAATATCGATTTAACTAGCACGATCCAACCGCCGAAAAGCCATACCCCATCTTTATTGCCAGAATTAGCATGGTCTGCCCAAAGAAACTGGGCATTCAAAAAAATAAGGCTGGTTCCTACAAAACGAACACGGGCGTTGACTGTCTCAGCAGGGGCACGTGCTGGGCAGCTCCTTATCCGGATCATAGGCCAGGTGGCCTGGCCCAGAGAGGCTGCAGTGGTTGCTGTTGACCCCCCTGCAAAAAGTTTAACTTTTTGGGGTTTGGTGGAAACCCCTTGATTTCCCAAAAAGTTGAAGTCTAAAGATCCAACCCAATAGCAGTCAAGGAAATTTGGTCGGGTGTGGTTACTTTCCCTGTGGTCGTCTACATTCCCAAAGAAATTCATGACTGGTCCTGCCAAGCCCAAGAACATGGGTCTTTCTTGTTACGTGTTGATCATGGCTCAAATGAGCTCCGACAAAATCGCGAGTGTTACCACAACAGGCCATGGCAAGAAATGGAACCGACTCCCTGGCTTTGGTGGGAATGGGGGCGGGGGGGAGGGTCATCCAAGACTATTATCAGCAGGGCCAGGCCTACTCTATATTTAAGTATGGTTGATGTGCAGGCAACCTCCATTCCGCTTCTCCTTAAAGGGGACCAGGGGTCTCTTTGAACAAATGTTGCCCAACTCTGCGCATCACTCTCAAAGCGGCACAGGCATGCAAGTCCAGCCTTTGGAGAACGTGCTGAAGCAAACATCCCGCTGGCCCTGAGCGTCTTGCGAGCCATACCTGAAGCTGCCAGGATCCAGTCCAACACTTGCACAAGCACAAAAGCAAGTTGTTTGCATTGTTGACCTCGGATGTATGAGCTTGTGGAATTGACAGGGGCTGTTTCCACCCAAACGCAGATTCCCATTGATGTGGGACATCCCCTCTCCATAAACATCTGCTGGGTGACTCGGCTAGGGAAAGCGGCAAAGGTCTCCAACACCACCCCTACGAAAGGCTTTTTATCTTGGGAGCGTCGAGACCTCCGACGTTGTCTCCGACCGGCACGAGCAAAAACACGGCGGAGCAGCCAAGCGTCGCCGCGGGATACTTGTTGGCATCGCACACGGCAAACTTGTCGTCCTTCGCAAAGAAGGCGAACTTCACGCAGTCGGTGAGCTGCGTGGTGGTCTCTAGCTTCCTCAGGCTTGAAGGAAACCCTACATTTGGCTGAACCATACAGCTCCAACCGGTCCAGAAAGGACCCGGCTATACCCTGCCCTTGATTCTAGTCCTAGTCCAGCCAAGCGTCAGGCTGTAGTCCTGTCGTTTGAAGCAGGTGGAATCGGCTTTGAGGTACGCGCAAAAGGACGGCGGCTTCTCCCTGGGCTTCGAGGAAGCACAAAGTGCGAGGTTTGGGGGTTGTCTCTTTTTGCGGACGCATGAAATGGGCTTACGTTTTTTGGCTTCCCTTACCCTAACCAAGATCCTTTGCGTGCGCGGGCCTTTGAGCGGCGCCTAGATCGCTGCATGGGATTCCTTCAGCCTTCCGAACAGTCATCCCTCTGTTGTCAGATGGCTCGCGAACCACGGTCAGAATATACGGTTTCCGGCTGGTCTTTGTGGGAAATTCAGAGCTCATTCACCCTATGGGCGACCCGAAATGAGGTATTTCCTGTCCTTCTTGAAGGCGTGCAACCATACGCCAAGCTGCTGCTGCTGCTGCACAGGCAACTCGGCCCGAACCAACCGTCCACGCGAATCTGTCTCCACTGCAGCCTTCACACCTGAACGCGGCTTCCAGAGAAATTCTGCCCTTGCGATTGCGATTGCAACTTGCACAATGGGTCCAGAAAGGTCCGAGAAACACAATGACCAGGTGGCTAGAAATAGTCTGGACAGTGGTTCCCCCTGCCTCCCCACCCCCTGTTTGTCTGACCCAATGCTGAGCCAAGGGCTATAAGCTGCTGCCACGTCGACCAGGAGAAGCCATAGCAGGCCTGTCAGAAAGACAATCGGCTGCAGTGCTTTTAAGGTGTTGTCACACAATCCCAAAAGCGTACCCTCAAAAGGTGCACCCATGTAGCTTTCATTTCATCCAACAACACGATTTCTCCCTGAAAGTTCATGTTTGGCTTGGGGCTGCAAGTTAACTGTTCAAAGGTTACTACATGCATCCCAAGTGGCATCTCATGGTGAGGCCTGACATAGAAACCTGCAGCATGTTGACTGCATCGCTTGGGCCGAAAACGCCACCGCCGCATGCATACGCTCCAGAAGCACGAGGCTAGAGCTTACAGTCTCAGAAAGCCGAAGTACCATGTCCGCCGCCTACTTTGCTGCTGTGCTGTTGCGATGTGGCCCCTCTTCTTTCGGTGTCACCAGTCCGCGGGTGCCACGGCATGAAGTTCTTTCCGACTCGGAAAGCCGAAAAGTCCGCACTAAGCCCAGCGCACCACTCAGCGCGGTTCCTCAGTGGCCGAGGTTCGCGTGCCTGCGACATGGCTGCTGCGCATGGAAAATGCGCTCAGCTTGGCTCATGGTGATGGGGAAAAAAAAGCATGCAGCCCCCCCCCCCCCCCCCAAAACCCCCACCACCCATGTTTCCCTCCTCACCAATTTGGGAAAATGTATCAGGCTCCAGCCTTCCATTTCTTGCCCCAAGGCGATCTGAAATTGCTGTTGGCTTGGTTGGAACGGGAATGAGATGCAATGATGGTTAGTTCTCAATAACATTTCATCCAATCTACCCTCCTGTCCGTTGGCATGGAACCTGACTGAGGGGTCCTGGAAGATGATAATATTTTACAAAGGGACCCCGTGTTAATGGACAGGAGGGTAGATTCTATCGCTGACGTCAGAAAACAACCCTCGTGGATTTGTCCCAGCCTCACGGCCGAAGGTGGCTGGCGACTGGTGATCCGCGCGAAAGAGTCCTGAGCTTCGCTGATTGGCTCCATGACGTATAACAACTGCTCCATGATCCATGGTCGAACCTCCGTATATCCCTCATGGTCATGATTTCATCAATAGGAACTCGTCATGCGTGTCATTTCCCACTATGGGGTTGATGACCATCCTAGACACCCGCAAGTAAGACAGTGTTTCGAGCAAAGAACAAATCGGTCCACCAAGAAGGTCAGTTTCCCTACCCCGAACGGGTATCGAGCCTCGACCCAGAGATGAAGCACGAGGGCAAGTGCTGACAATCTGTTTGGGGCGACTTGTTTCAAGTGCACCCTTTTCCTCCGGTGTATTTAGGGGGAAACACCCCGTTTCGAAGGTTCCCCTGTGTATTTGCAGCTTACATTGCAGGCACGTTCTGCTCTGCGTTCAGAGTGAGAGGGCCCGCACACAAACATCAGAGAACAGCTCATGCGCAAACAAGAGGGCAGAAGCTGTTCCTATTCCCTGAGGCTGTACCCCAAATACAAGCCCGCCAAGCTGCCACACCCTGAACCTGCAAGCACGCCGAACAGAAAAGCACTCGAAATGTCCACGTTGGGCACTTGAAGCATCTCTTGACCCTTAGGTCTTCGAGCCCCCCAGCATCACACTCATTTTCCTAACTCACCAAGCCCCCACCCCCCCACACCCCCTCCCCCTCCCCTCCGCAGGAAGGAGGATCGGCCAACATTAATTCAAGCGTCCAAGGGCTCGCTTGGGTCCGGATCCCGCCACTTCCTTCTCTGCCACGGCCACGATGTCCTTCGCGGCTCTGGTGGCAGTGGCCGTTAGTCATAGTTGGCAGCAGTTGTTTTGTATTTTGAAGCTCCAGGGTTCCCGCTGTGGGCTTTGGGGGGGGGGAGTATAGTTCAAACCATTGAGTGTGTTGAGTGGTGCAACACCGATATCCCTCCTTCCAGATCACGTGGGCCAGCTTGCACACCTGCCGGCTTCGAGGTGGTCCCTGGATTGCTGGTAGATGGCTTTCTCAATAGAAACCTTCCTTTTGCCACTGCAACCGTTATGAGTGCTTTACCAAAAGGACCTGCGAAAATTGGAGTCCGGACCATCCCCCGGCTTGCAAACTTGGCCCGCCCCTCCTTCTCGACCAACAATAGACTACCACTTACTTTGTCAGTTGCTCATGTGTGCCCCTTTCAAAGCTCGTCCGTGGATTACGCTCAGGGTGCCCTTTAAGAACCCTTGCAATGGCTATTTGGGGGTCTCAAAATAGGGGACCCTTTTTTGGATGGATTTAAAGGGAAACCACCAGGAAACCACACACCTGCAAAGTCGAGAAACACTCATTTAACTTCTGGACGCTAGGACTCACGGCTATGGACTCCACAAAAGGGGTCTCTTGACCAAAGCACAAGGAAGCTCTCGCCTCTGGGTCGCCTGGTGGCGCAGCTGTGTCCTGCGCACGCCGGGGAAAAAACACTTTGGACCTTGGAAACCAGAACATGTTCTCCATCCCTGTTTCCCTTCAAGCCTTAGGAGCAATCCAAAATTCCCTTAGCATAGCGCCCAATGAACCCTGGCCCGCCGTCGTCTGTTTTAAAAATCGAAATCAATTGCAGCAACAGGAGTCCATGCACGCGGCGTGCTCTACCTCGCTTCGTGGCAGCAACACATTTAGCTTGTACTATTGCTACAGTGTCAGAAGCGAGCCGTGCTACGAGGACAAACTCCACCACTGCACGATCAAAATACCAAGCAAGCCAACACCGGAACGGCCGTGCACCCTGCGCCTCGCCCGCCGGCAGGATGGCGGCCATGGCCTTCCTCCACTTCCGAGCCCACCTGAAGCGCCGAAGCGCAGTGTCTCTTCACGAGAGTAGAGTCGAGTCAAAATCGAAACAGGAAAAATTGTAAAATGTTCTGCCCATGGTAAAATGGCAACATGGCAAAATGGCAAAACAGAACAAGACGATTCCTGGTGTAAAATGGTCAAACCTGGGAATTAGTAACATGGTTGTAATCCCAGAACCATGCTTCAAGAATTGAAAAGGCGAAGGCACCAAAAAACATGCTTGGGGTTGTCCCTTACCCTCCAACTACACATGAGGCAAAGCCCTTCAAGCCTTCTGGACTCTAGCTCCCTCCTCCATTTCCCCTTTTGAGAGCTCCAGTGGGGAAAAAAAATAACCTATGTGAGCTGTGCTCCCAAAAACCATCGACATGAATGGCTGCAGACTCTCACAGATTAATTGTCTATTGCTACAAACAAGGGAACCCAACTCAACAATACTTCATTACTTGCTGGGGGGAGGGTGTACTAATCAGGGATAAACAGTGATTGCAAAGTATGTGTGTATGTGTGTGCTGCGCTACTCACACTGTCGATACTGGCCAACATGCGCAGTCCAAAGGGTTCTACTGCCACATTACCCGCATGCAAGGCCAAGCCGTGACCTGTCGTAATTCGACCCAATGGCTGGTTTATGTGAAGCATGTCTCAAAAGAACGGGGGGCCCAAAAATCGATGGCTTTCTTTGCAGACTCAGCGGAATTGCTCATATGGCCATGGGTCAAAATCCAAATCGTACCCCCAGTGAACGTCAAAAAAAAAACACTAAAATAGGTCCTAACATGGGTGGTGAATTCACCTACCAACCAAAATGGGATCCTAAAACGGCTTTGACAACCACCGCCACACAGGCGCCGCTCAGCTCTACCAGCGCCTGCTGCGCAAGGCCCGCTCGGGGCTGCGGCTGCGATCGCAGCCTGGCCCAGGCTTGCTCCGATGCTTCAAAAAGCCCCAGTGAAGGATACAAAACGGTTCGCAGCTTCGCTTCACCAGGGACCTGCAGCTTCTATGTGGTTTATGAAAAGTTCACATGGGATGACTATTGGGGAAAGCCGCTAAGATGATATTTCCCGCATGGGGATAAGTACCTTTTGGTCATTTGGAGGCCGAAGAGAATACGCGTCGACCCCCTACATGCCTTCTTTTGTGGAGTGCTGGGGCGGATTTGCGCTTGAGCGGCTCGCCTCCCATGCCAGGAGGGTCTGGCTCCAGCCAGCAGCGCTGGTAGAACTGCTCGCGCAACTCCTCCGAGGGAGGTGAGAGCAGAAGCCACACCTGAGTCATAATCAAAACCCAGAACCATGCAAAGAATTAAGAAGGAACCCGCAGCTATTTATGGTTGGGAGCATCCCTTGCTAACCTTCATCTACCCGGGCTTTGATTGTGGCTCACCTGAGGAAAGGCTCTTAGAAGCTTCCAGGAAAAAACTTTCAAAAGGGCTAACTGAGACCTTTTCACCTTGGATCCTGGTTGCCAAGGGTAAGCAGGCCTGCGAGCGACTCCTTTCAGGTTTTGGCAATTGCCCGAAAGCGGGCATGATACAATCAAAACAGGATACCCGTGCCACCAACTGCCAAGAGGCGCATGCTTTGTCCAAAGGGATGTGTGTACGTCCATGGTTTGTTGGTGGGACGTAGCTATCTTGTGCCAGATCTACCACTCAGAACCTGGGATGATGTCGTTTGATCATTCATCTGCCGAACAACAAGCATACTAGAGCGGCGCTGAAATTGGCACTTGTTTGATTAGACATAGACATCAGTCAACTCTTCACAGGCTGCTAAAGTGAATCAAGTGCAACTGTCAGCGCCGTTAAGTTCAAGTCATAATTACAGCTGAATCGCCAGCAAAACCTGGTATTCACGGAGTCTACCATCACCATATCACCAGCCGCTGCCCATTGTACGTAAAATAATAATAACAGAAATAATGTTGGAATAACATGTATATGTATATATATATGTATAATTAGGACCCCTGCCAAAAAAAATAAGCTCGGGCAATATCCCCAACAGCACCACACCCTCCCAGAATCCTCGCGGAACGCCCCAGGACCATCCTTACCGCCGGCGTTGCTGAGGATGCCGCCTTGTAAAGCAAAGCCACGAGTGACAGCGCCATCTCGCCCTGAGCGGGGCGACGGCGCAATCGGGGCCCGATCGGGGCCCGACGGCGCAATCGGGGCCCGATCGGGGCCCGACGGTGCAATCGGGGCCCGAAGGTGCAATCGGGGCCCGATCGTCCCCTGGTGCAACCCCAGCCAGCCATATTATAGCTCAACGCCGGTTTTCCTTAGCATGCGGATTGCAACTGTATCTATAGTAAAACTAGGCGATGCCAGCTTGGTACAATTGACGGGGCCCGGCTGAGTCGGGCCCCGATCGGGGCCCGACGGCGCAATCGGGGCCCGATCGGCCGCCGACGGTGCAATCGGGCCCGATCGGGGCCGGACGGTGCAATCGGGGCCCGATCGGGGCCCGACGGTGCAATCGGGCCCCGATCGTCCCGTGGTGCAACCCCAGCCACCCATATTATACTAGCACAAACCTAAATTACAACTTGAAGTTGAGAGCTACAGAGATATGTTGGTTGCCATCAACCATGCTAGGTCCACGCGCGCGCGCGTCATGCTATGCTACTTGTTTTTTGCTCGTTGCAGGACAGATAGGGTACTACTTACACATGTATTTTGTGGAAGGTCCTGTGCTGAAGATTGACCACGTGTATGATGACCGTACTAAAGTTCAGTTCGTAGTTGCAAAGCGTTGTGCTTACTCTGGACAGTTTACAGCTTGCTTATGGTGGCTTTCTGTTTCGCGGAATTGTTTTCCAGTTTTTTGGTGTATTTTTCCAGTTTCTTTTTCTAGACACTTGCACTGCAGATCTTCTCCGCCTTCTTCTGGATCACCCCAGGTCACAACAGCCCCAGATTCAAGAATGGCAGCAAATTCACCGCCGCTTGATTGGATGCGCTTGACGCTTTTCAGCTGCTCCTGCACCTGGCTGCTGTCTCTGCCCCAGTCTGCCCAACCCCAGGTCACAACAGCCCCAGATTCAAGAATGGCAGCAAAAAGCACCACCGGTAGTTGCTTAGATGCGCTTGAGGTTCTTCAGCTGCTCTTGCACCTGGCTGCTGTCTCCGCCATACTCTGGATCGCCCCACGTGACAACATCGCCAGATTCAAGAATGGCCGCAAGAGCACTGCAAGTTGCTTGGATGTACTTGACATTCTGGAGCTGCTCTTGCACCTGGCTGCTGTCTCCGCCATCTTCTGGAACGCCCCAGGTGACAACAGCCCCAGACTCAAGAATGACAGCAAACGCACACTCAGCTGCGTGGATGCACTGGACGTCTCTCCGTCTTCTTCTGGATCACCCCAGGTCACAACAGCCCCAGATGCAAGAATGACAGCAAAAGCATGCTCAGCTGTGTGAATGTGCTGGACATTCCTCAGCTTCTCTTGCATTTTGCAGCTGTCTCCTCCCATGTCTCAACGACCCCAGGTGACAACCTCGCCTCCGTGGACGTGCCAAACGAATGCCTTGTAGGTGGCTGCCAATGTGCCCGGCTGCGCAACCGCGTCCACCACATCCCCATCTCGCAACCCGGCGTCACTCAGCGCGGCTGTCAAGTCGAGCAAGTTGGTCTGTGCAAGTTGCTCTGCGCCAGTTGCTCCGTGCAAGCGCTTTGCGCATGTGCTCTGTGCAAGTTGGTCTGTGCAAGTTGCTCTGCGCAAGTGCTTTGTGCAATTGCTCTGCGCAAGTTGCCCTGCGCAAGTTGCTCTGCGCAAGTGACTCTGCGCAAGTTGCTCTGCGCAAGTGCTGCCGGAGCTGTGGGAATGTACTTCGCGTACTATGTTTGTATTTAAAATTTTCGATTTTCCAGCCGGAGCTGCGGGGGTGCGTACTACGTTTGTACTTAAAAGTTGCGCGGGAGCACGCTACGCATACTACGTCTGTACTTAAAAGTTGCGATTTTCCAGCCGGAGCTGCAGGGGTACGGTCCGCGTACTACGTTGCGATTTTCAAGCCGGAGCTGCGGGGTGTGCTCCGCGTACTACGTTTGTACTTAAAAGTTGCGATTTTCCAGCCTGAGCTGCGGGAGCACGCTCCGCATACTACGTCTGTACTTAAAAGTTGCGATTTTCCAGCCGGAGCTGCAGGAGCACGCTCCGTACTACGTTTGTCCTTAAAAGCTGCGATTTTCAAGCCGGAGCTGCCGCGGACCAGGGGGGAATCGAACCCGCGACCGCGGGATTGCGAAAGCAGGCGCGCAAACCACGAGACAACTTCCAAAGGCCGTTTCGCGAGCACGGCGCCACAGCGAGAGTGCTGCGACGCGCACAATCTCCGCAGAGGGTTCGGCGCCATTGCGAGAGTGCTTCGACGCGCACGATCTGACCGCCGAAATCGTAAAAAGTCCTCAGTTTTTTGAACCTCGACCACGCGAATCTCCGCAGAGGGTCGCGCGCGCATGCTAAAAATCGTAAAAAGTCCTCAGTTTCTTAACCTCGACCACGCGAATCTCCACAGAGGGTCGCGCGCGCATGCTAAAAATCGTAAAAAGTCTCAGTTTTTTATCCTCGACCACGCGAATCTCCGCAGAGGGTCGCAATCCCGAGCGACGATCAAACTCCCGCCCCGGCGCCTTAGAAACCTAAACTAACTTACATAGCTGCTAACGCCGAAGCTCTACGCAAGCTCTACCTAACCTTGGCTCTGTGCTTGGCAACTTGGCTCTGTGCCACTTGGCTCTATGCAACTTGGCTCTATCTAACTTGGCTCTATGTAACTTAGCTCTATGTAACTTGGCTCTAACTTGGCTCTATGTAACTTGGCTCTATGTAACTTGGCTCTATGTAACTTGGCTCTATGTAACTTGGCTCTATGTAACTTGGCTCTATGTAACTTGGCTCTATGTAACTTGGCTCTATGTAACTTGGCTCTATGTTGGCTCTAACTTGGCTCAACTTGGCTCTATGTAACTTGGCTCTATGTAACTTGGCTCTATGTAACTTGGCTCTATGTAACTTGGCTCTATGTAACTTGGCTCTATGTAACTTGGCTCTATTGTATGTAACTTGGCTCTATGTAACTTGGCTCTATGTAACTTGGCTCTATGTAACTTGGCTCTATGTAACTTGGCTCTATGTAACTTGGCTCTATGTAACTTGGCTCTATGTAACTTGGCTCTATGTAACTTGGCTCTATGTAACTTGGCTCTATGTAACTTGGCTCTATGTAACTTGGCTCTATGTAACTTGGCTCTGTGCAACTTGGCTCTGTGCAACTTGGCTCTGTGCAACTTGGCTCTGTGTAACTTGTCCAAGGGCTCCGCACGGAAGAACCCTTCGCGATGCTTTCGGGAAACAAATGTTTGCTTGCATGCTTGCTTGCTTGCTTGCTTGCTGGCTTGCTTCCTTGTTTGCTTGCTTGCTTGCTTGCATGCTTGCTTGCTTGCTTTAAAAAAACATGTTGGCTTGCATGCTTGCTTGCTGGCTTGCTTGCTTGCTTGCTTGCTTGCTGGCTTGCTTCCTTGTTTGCTTGCTCGCTTGCATGCTTGCTTGCTTGCTTGCTTGCTTGCTTTGCTTGCTTGCTTGCCTGTTTGCATGCTTGCTGGCTTGCTTCCTTGTTTGCTTGCTTGCTTGCATGCTTGCTTGCTTGCTTTGCTTGCTCCAAATGCTTGGTTGCTGGCTTGCTGGCTGTCGGGCCCCGATCGGGGTGCGATGGCGCAATCGGGGGACAGTGCAATCGGGCCCCGACCTAGGCCTCGCAAACCGTTCTCACGCAGCTTTCGTGGAGCTCAGCGTGAAACTTTGCTGGAACCTTTCCTCAGGGCTGCCCCATAGCTTTTGCAGAATTTGGTGGAAACCTTCTGACCTCATAGCCCTCGCAGCCTCGTGGAATTCTTGGAACCCAAAGCCCACCAAGCAGCAATGCCAAGCATTTACTCTGCTGCGCCGTGAGTTCCGCAGCGACGTGATCTGATTTGCCACAAAGCCAACATTTGCCTGAGCAGCAGGATCAACCAGGTTTCGTTGGAAAAACCATGCCAGCGGCTGCCCAAACATGACCTCTTGGAAGCTGGCTCAGCCTTTTGAGATCACTGGCTCAGGCCATGAGACAGGCATATGACTGCTGGCAGGAGCTTCGTTTTGCAAGTGAGCAAGTCACAAAACAGTGAAAGTGTGCTAAAAACCATTGATTTCGGTCTTGCTCAGTGTTCCGCCCATGAGCAAAGCGATCTTGATTCGATGGCTTTTCAGACGACGGGCGCACGACACACACTTGGTGGAGCCTTGTGGAACCCGTGTGGAATCTTGCAGAGCTTTGTGGAACCCTGTGAATCTTGTGGAACCCTGAAACCCTCATACAACCTTACCCTCAAACCACCCCGGACCACCCCGCAGCCCTTGCAGAACCTTGTGAAAGGAAAGGAACCTGGTGGATTCTCATGGAACATTACCTCAAACCAGCCCGGACCGCTGGTGGAACCCTGGTGAAACCCTGAACCTTCCCCGGACCACGCCGCACCCTCGAAGAAATTGGTGGAACCCTGGTGGAACCCTCGTCCGGAGCACGACCCCGTGGAACCTTACCTCAAACCACCTCGGACCACCCTGCAGCCCTCGCAGAACCTGGTGAAACTTCTGGTGGAAATCTGGTGGACCCCTCGTGGAACCTTCCTCAAACCAGACCACCGCCGGCCCTGGTGGAACCCTCGTGGAACCTTACCTCAAACCACCCCGGACCACCCTGCAGCCCTGGTGGAACCCTCGTGGAACCTTACCTCAAACCACCCAGACCACCCCGCAGCCTGGAACCCTGGTGGAACCCTGGCGGAACCCTCGTAAAACCTTCCTCAAACCCGCAGCCCTCGAAGAAATTGGTGGAACCCTGGTGGAGCCCTCGTGGAACCTTACCTCAAACCACCCCAGACCACCCCGCCCTTGCCGAACCTGGTGGAACCCTGGTGGAACCCTGGTGGAACCCTGGTGGAACCCTGGTGGAACCCTGGTGGAACCCTGGTGGAACCCTGGTGGAACCTTAGCTCAGGGTCGCCCCGAACCACCCCGGAGCCTATCTGGGCTGAGACCCCAAAGCTTTCAGCTGTTGGGGAAAAAAAAACATTGTTGCCCGGTTAGTGAAAAACAAAGGGGACCCCAAAAAAGCCCCCCCCCCCCCCAAAAAAAAAAAACAAAAAACAAAAAAAAACAGGAACTAATTCTGGAGAAGTATATATATATATATAATTGTATCTATATATATATATATTATGTTGGAATCCGAATTTCTTGTGGACCAATTTGGCGAGTCACCCGTCGCTTTGACCAGACAATCCTGCCAGAGCACCAGCTCCGGGAAGGTCTCCGCCATCTGCTTCCACCCGTCCCGGGGCTCGGCGGGTCGCGTTCGAAAGATTTTTGGGGTGCAATCGAAATGGAACCAGTGGGTCAAAAATAGGTACCCAGAATGGAACTAGTGGGGAAAAAATGACCTATGTGAGCTGTGCTCTCAAAAATCATCGACGTGAGAATGGCTCATATGGCCATGGGTCAAAATCCAAATCGTACCCCCAGTTCACATCAACCAAGCCAACCACTAAAAAAGGTTCTAAAATGGGTGGTGCACCGAAAACCCCAAAATGGTACCATAGGTTTTGACCCACTGCCAAATGTTTTGGGATGAAACCAGGGGGATGGACCACTTTGGGCTTTGGAAGGAATGAGTTGCCGCAAAACCTTTTTTTTTGCTTGGAGGCAGGGGATTCCTCAAGCTATCTTATTGCACCCTCCCTCTCTGAAAACAAACCAGGGACCCTCCCACGGGTGCTGTTTTGCGGCAAGAGCCAGAGGCAAATCAATCCTTATGCGAAAGCTTCATCCCGCGCTCGCTTCAGGCCAGCGGCCATGCCACGTCCAATGCGCCGCACTTCGGCCTCGCAAGGCTCACCGCGCACTCCTTTTCCTATGTCCCCATCAGCCACTTGGCGGTGGGTCACAAATAGGTACCCAAAATGGAACGCTGGTAAATGGAACCAAGGACTAAAACCTGCGGTCCGATTCCTGGTGGTTTAATTTTGACCCATACCCACTTGGTTCTATGCTCGAGGCTCAATAGCCTAAAATGCATTTGTTCTTTTTCCTACGTTTTTGTTCTGTGCTTTGGACGCCAAAATCGGAGGAACTCCAACTCGATTTGGACCTCTGCAATTCGGAGTCCCGAGGAGTCTGCCGCGAGCACGCGGCTCAGCAGGCACAGGAATTGGGCGCGGTAGCGCCTTGGACTCACACACACACACACACGCGCGCGTTTTCCCCTTTTCATGTAGCGCGGCTTTTCTGCCCAAGCATCCAGCATCAAAAAACAAGTGTGTTATATATATATATATAGATACGTTCTTCAGGTGGTTGAGATTCAAGATTCCCCGGAAACCTTTCTTCATAATTTTGAACCTTGAATCTTGAGAAGTGGCACTGTAAAGCCACTTTGAGGTAAATGGGATTCGAGATTCCCCTGGCATCTGTTTCCAGCATTTTGAATCTTGAAGTATATAGACTTGTAGTAAGCAATTGGCAGCTCCAGATTCAGATTGAAAAAACACAACTGTTCAGAGTAGTACGCAAAGTACACGTGCCTGGAACAGCTATGTAATCAGGTTTTTACTCGTATCATTTGGCAAACCTTCAATGTTGGGGAAATGAGTTCATTCCTATCTCAATTGAAGATGCTTCGTGTCCTTGCGCCATTTGCATTCTACAGTCAACTCTGTTAGAAATTCATTTGGAAAGCAAACTCTATCGAATGTATGTGTTGTGTGTCTAACACAACATGATACAAATACGAGAAGAAGACCCCACAAAAATGTTGTTTCCAGGTCAAACCGAATTCAGCTGTCAGCAATTGCATTTCCTCATGCATTCAAACAGCAACTATTGAACTTGCAAGCTGACATTGAGATCAACTTCAATCTCAAAAGCTTAGTTGCCTTTATTTAAGTCCATGTAATTTTGACTAAGCACGAAGTGAGCCAAGCCAATCACAGGAACGTGGTTCAATCAACATGGATCTGATCCTTGGTAAAAATGCGCTAAAATGCGGTAAAATGGGGTATGTTCAGCATGTGTCGGATTATCCTTCCTAAAGGTCAAGCAGCGCAACATTTCCAAGTCTCACAGCTTGGTTCGCAAATTGTTGCGCAACATTTCAACAGCAAAAAACCAAGCCATGATACTGTCTTTTTGGTTTTGGGTTGGCCAAAATGTTGCGCAACATGTCCACGGAACCAAAGAAACTGTGCGGCCATGGTGGAGTAGGATTGTTGTGTTGCTGTTGGGTTCTTGTTTTCTGCTTTCCTTTCTCTTTTTGTTCGGTTGGTTTGCCACATGTTGGCCAACATCAGGCGCAACATTTGGAACATGTTGCGCAACATTTTCACTGGACCGAAAAGAGAACTTTAGCCATGGTCGGGGAAGGATTGTGTTTGTGTTGTTTTTGTTTCTTTTTCTTTTTCCGGTTGGCTTGCCAGATGTTGGCCAAAATGTGTGGCAAGCTTCGGGAAATGGTGCGCCAATAGCGCAGCATGCCCACTGGCCGAAAACAAAAATGGCTGGAAATGTGGGGAATGTTGAGAAACATCCCCAAAGAACAAACATTCAAGCCAGAAATGCCAGTTCTTGATGTTTTTTAGTGGGGCATAGGGGCAAGTGCCAGAAATGAGCTTTGTTTTAGATTGGTTCTGGCTTGCTGGCTTTTAGTGGGATTGAGAAGTCAATGCTTGGGTCCGAACTTGGCTGCACAGTCATAGGCAATACCTGTGCGAGTCAATTCTATGCTGCTGGGGCAACACATGGTCAATAATACCTCTGATGCCCATGACTGCCTCCAAACCAATCATGCCCTTGTCCCGAAACTCGTTGGTGCACAGAATACCCAACTAAAACCGTACCCATCTAGCAATGATACGGGTGTTAGTCTAAACGGGGACCTTTTGATGGACATTTAGCTGGGGATTCATGTCCACCAACCACTTTGGAGGTGGTTCCCTATTGAAATTCATGGCAATACTACAACAGGCCGGTCTTGAGATCGCCCTTCTGGGCCTGGACCGTTTTCCTGTGACCTGGACTAACGCAAGGCACGCCAGGCGCACGCAAGGCCGGCGAGGCCATCGCTTCCATGAGCTGCGACCTGACTTTGCGACTCCAAGGGCCAGCGATGCGTTGAAACCTTTGGCCAAAGGCACAAGATGGGTATGCAGGGTCCACAAGGCAGACTTGAACCCAGGGGCTCATCACCCCCAAAAGGGGAACCCCAGCGGTAGAGAGGGTAGAAAGGGAACAAACAAAACTAAGCCTTTTTACCGCTCAATACATCCCTTTCTGTAAGGGTATGGGTCAAAATTAAACCAGGATATGGACCACAGGTTAAAAAACATCATTGTTTCCACTTACCAGGGTAACCCATTTTGGGTACCCCCACGCATATCAGTTTGCTTGACCAACATTTAACGCACACGCGTGGCAAAAGAAAAAGTACGCTATTGACCTGGAGATCTTGGAGATCCCTTTGTGAAGCAAATCCCCTTCTTCCAGAAAAACGTGCCTGAACAAGCCCGCATGCAAGGCTCAAAACGTAGTCTTTTTGTTGCTCGTCCCAACCCCAAGGGAGCTACCCAGCCTAAGGACAGCACCCACAAATTGCTCCGTTTAGCACACCCTTTCGCAGGTTTTAGTCTTTGTTCCATTTGCCAAGGTGCCATTTTGGTACATTTGTTTGACCCACAGCCAGCTGGGAGTACACGACGCCACAACGCAGCCCGCCTCTCAAACCAAAGGCACAGAAGCTCGGGGACCCGACAGCCCTGCCGTCGATGTGGCTTGGACACTTCATCAGAAATGCGTGGACCAACAAGATGGCCACTAACTAGTTTGCTCTTCTTTTTTGGGGGGGATCTATTGGAAATTGCAGAAATCATGGTGCTTGAAGAGAGCCTGTCCAACAGGTTCATTCTGCAACCCTTTTGGCTTCCTTTTCCATGGGAGGTTCCATCCTTGATGAATTTGCCGATGAGGCGCGTCGCCCGTTTTGCCACCACCCCCTAAATTGTTTTGAGCTCCCTTTGCACCTCCCTCCATAAACCAACCCCTTGAAACAAGCTCAAGCCCTGAGTGACCGCCTGATGCGCCGAAGCGAAGAGCGACAGCGCGCGACTGCGCGCCGCAGTGGGCACGTGGCCTTCCCCTGGAGCGGGAATTGCTTGGGGTCGTTTTGAGCCTGGACCTCAGTCTCTTTGGTTGGGCAAACCTCTCCAAGAGGACAAGTTAGTGTCCCCATGAGTCAGAATATGTGATTCCGTCAAGGGCATGGACAAATAGTAATTATGTCCTCTGGTGGTTCCTGGAGGTTTAGTGAGTTGCTCATGTCCTTGTCAAATTGATCATAGACTGATATTTTGACAGAATCTTACATAGGTGCTGAGCTTTCCTTGCCTCCTCAGACCTTTTGCTTTGCCACGAGATATTTGCCTGCAGATGTTGGACTCTTTACAACACGGAGTCTGGTTCCTCACTTGTTCCGCAAACTTGCTGAGCTGCTATCACGCAAAGGCCCGCTAACTCAAACTGGCGAGAGGTCTCGTTGCATCGATGGAGCTACCACTTGAATGGCGAGCTGTCCATACAAGTACTATCAAGCAGTTTGGGATACCCACCCGCGAAAATGGAGCCTATCTGGAGGCCCTTGGCAGACCTTCCGGTGAGTTCCATATGAGTGGGATGGAGGCTTTTCTGCGATTTAACATGGAACCCCCGCAATTCATCACTTGTAACCCCGCAAATCGCTTCGAGATCTTTGCATTGGACCCCTTGGAGCTGGGTTGCCATGATGCCAGCCTGCCAAGCCGCAGATCACCGTCAGCAGGCGGGACGCCTCACAGGTGGGCCACAGGCTTTGGGCTCACTTTGAAGTCCGACCTTGAGATGGGTGGCTCGGCTTTTTGTTGAGTTTTCTGGTTGTTGAAGGGAAACCAAAAGGAAAACCACCATTTTGGGGGGCCTCCCAAAAACGACACACCCATATTCACACCCTGGCACAAAACCGGCACATGTGCGCTAACTCCTCCCCCTCGAGCCTCGGCAAAGAGCGTCTCTTGGGGCCTCTCCATGGTGTCAGGCACCTGCAGAGCTACAGACAAGCAGTCCAAGCTCACCTCGCTGTGCGAGGTTACCAGCACGGTCACTGCGTGAGGCTTCCCCCCGCCCCCGACATGACATGCTTGGGAAAGTGCAGACTGATTGCCACCATAGTCTGCCTCATTGCTGAGAGGAGAAAAAGTGACCCACAAATCCAAGCGGCTACATTCCAGTCAAGAGTGGCGGTCGAGAGCCCGCGCGTGCGGTGCGGTGCGGTGCGGTGCGGTGCGGTGCGGTGCGGTGCGGTGCGGTGCGGTGCGGTGCGGTGCGGTGCGGTGCGGTGCGGTGCGGTGCGGTGCGGTGCGGTGCGGTGCGGTGCGGTGCGGTGCGGTGCGGTGCGGTGCGGTGCGGTGCGGTGCGGTGCGGTGCGGTGCGGCGGCGCGGCGCGGCGCGGCGCGGCGCGCGCGCGGCGCGGCGCGGCGCGGCGCGATGCGGTGCGGTGTGGTGCGGTGCGGTGCGGTGCGGTGCGGTGCGGTGCGGTGCGGCGCGGCGCGGTGCGGTGCGGTGCGGTGCGGTGCGGTGCGGTGCGGCGCGGTGCGGTGCGGTGCGGTGTGGTGCGGTGCGGTGCGGTGCGGTGCGGTGCGGTGCGGTGCGGTGCGTGGGTGTGGAGATTGATTGTCGCACTTCCCTGATCTTCACAAATGTCTAGATTCCTGATAATAGTTTTTTCAGATCTCTGGCAGAACCCAAAGCAGCCCTGCGCCGTTTTCACCATCCCTCGACTCTCATCGACACGGCATGCTCCACACCTGTCGCCCGGTCGCTGATGCGAACCAAACCACCAGGCGCCGCTGCTCCTGTGCCAACGAGTTGGTGATGCTTTTGCCACTTACCCCTGGTGTTCCAGAAGAACCAATGGTTGTGGAACTTTCTGTGATGCCGAAGTGGTTGAATCCCAAGCACTTCATCACCTTCAAAGGGACTCCAACTTGGTAGCACAGAGAGCGTAAAGCGAAATATCCCACATGGACCAATCATCGTGACACTTCCTGAAAAAACATCCAGACCCGACATCTGCTTGATGTGCAAGGCTTGTTTGGAAAAGCCAACGAAAGCCAAATGATCCAGGGACTCCGTGGCGTTTCTCAGCTTCCCTCCAATTGGTGGTTTGGATTGGTGGTTTGGTGGTTCAGAAGGGGCTTTGTCATGTACCCTCTGCAAGGACCAGAAGTTCAAATCCCAAGCCACCAATCCAAACCGCCAATCCAAACCACCAATCCAAGGCACCAATCCAAAGCACCAATCCAAAGCACCACTTAGCTGAGTCCTTCAGCTTCCCTACAAAAGAAAACGTCGTGCCCCCGAGCACACGATGTTAATTTTCTGTCCTGCAGGCCGAGCCTCAGCTCCTCCGCCGCCTCGCTGAGGCGGTGAAACGCCTCAAGCGCCGAGCCCAAAAACGTCCCTCATTGAAATCAACGGAAAAACGGGTCGGTCTGCCAATCCGCCAAAGTCTCCCCACTCCCCCCCAAAACCCAAATCCATACAAAAAAGGAGGGCCCAAATCCATACAAGCGTTCAGCGTCAGGGCTTGGCGCCAGGTTTGGGCTCAGAAGGACCAGTTGCTTTGGCCCGACTGCGGTTGTTCTGAGCGCAGAAGATGTAAAACATCGCAGCACCAAAGGCCGCAAATGATCAAAAGAAACCCTATACAGTATTCTATGAGGCCTTACCAACACCACAAAACATGGACCGAACTGTTTTCAGCGTGTGAAGAGTGGAGGTCGCGTCCATCCACTGCCACTGCCAACCACCACCATCACTACAGGACCTCTGAACAAAAGGACTCTTTTCTCGGACCTATGAGCTTCAGAGATACAGGACTAGGACTAGAACCTGCAGATTGCGGTTGCTCGATTCTTTTCCGGCTTCATGGGTGTGTCTGTGTGCGTGTGCATGTGTGTGTGTGTGTGGCTTCAAGGATCTCCAATTCTTTCAGTCCAGGTATGGACGAGTTTGCATGTTTGCCACAAGGGCGCCTCCTCTTCCCTGACGCCGAGGATCACCAAAACAAGCAAGCAAGCAAGCAAGCAAGCAAGCAAGCAAGCAAGCAAGCAAGCAAGCAAACAAACAAACAAACAAACAGCACAACCTGAAAAAAGCAGCGTCATCTCCTTGAGTTGCAAACTCACGCACAACTGCAGTGTGAGATCATCCCAAATATATTGCATCTTGCCTGTTTCTTTCTCAGCTTCTCAAATGTTTCTCCTCAACTTGGCATCTTCGTGCAGAAAGACCGAGCCGCTCGATTCTCGGCTCATGAATTGGGAGGATGACATCTGACCCAAAACCAGAAATCCAGAGCGTTGGGCTTTGGGCATCCACCAAATTCGCCGACTGCATCGCGCCTGGTCAGCTTGCGGTATGTCAGGGTTCTTGTCCGGGTGGAGGGCCCTTGACCTCAAAAGCGGTCGGCCGCAGTTTCAAAGAGACCCCAACTCAGCAAAATGCGAAGTATTCGCACTTGGGAATACTTGAACTCCAGCAGAGGGAAAGTTCTTTTCACCCGGGGATGACTTCTATTTGGTGAACATCAGAGAAATACCTGGCGGGGCATGTCTCCTTTTCATGTGAAGTCCCAACCATAAATTCACTGCCAAAACTTGTGCTGGCTTCCCTAAAGGGAGGGGCTCACACCCAGCTCCAACAGGCGTTGGTTAAGGCTCCCAACAGCTGCCTGTAGGAGTAGGCGATGTCTGCCTTCCGAACAACATGTCGCTTTGTTGAGGGCTACCCTTTTTTGGGTTTGCTTGAAAAGGCGACCAGACCTGCTCATGTTGAGGGGAGTTCCCTATTTCAGCACAAGCCCAAACCAAACACGCGACCTTGAGGCAACATGTCCTTTAGGAAAACCCTTCTCACAACTTCGGGAAACAAAATAGCGACAATAAAGCAGGAAAAAACAAATGCTACTGGAAAAAGAACAAAAAGAACACCCACATCCATTGACTGCTCCTCACCAGAGTGCACAATGTTGCAGTCCAAAAAACCTCGAGCACTTCTCAAAGTTCCAAAACAAAAGTAGAGACTCACTAAAACTGGCCCCATTTTTTTACCAGTATCAAAGTCACCCCGGTTCAGTGGTGGGTAACAGGGAAACCACCCCAGTTTCTGACTTTGATAGCTCCTAGAAACAGCCAAATATGAACCCCCATAAAAACCGGGAGAGGCAGGGGGGGGGAGGGGGGGCGGTGGTGCCCTCGATCGCCTCCCCGTAGCCGCCCAGGTGGGCCCCGCCCAACCGCAGCACCGCCAAAGCGCTCGGCCGCGCCCCCTGCGCCGCTTCAGCGCACGGCGGGACGCCCCGATCGATGGGCCCGCCGGCCGCCAACCCCCCCCCCAACCCCCGGTTCTCCCCAGCAACGACCCCACCCCAGGCCTCCTCTTCTCTTGAGACCTTTTTGATGAGGTCTGTTTGGGGGAACAACCCTCAAGGCAACCCCAAAAACCGTTCTACCCCTCTGAGAATTATGGCTGACAGGAGTGGGGAGACGAGTTTCCTTTTGGGTTTCAAACATCGCCTTTTGTACCCCACGCAATTCAAAGTTGGAAGTGGCCCCAGTGATGCTTGACTGTTCCCACTCGAACAAAAACACCCAAATAAACTCCGTGGCTGTCCATTGGACATGTCAACACATCAACTTCATGGCTACAAGGAAAGGCCACGTAGTCAAAACCTGACATGAAGGAGGTCTGCCCAACATCCGTGGTACAGAATCAAACGGGGTGTTTAATATCTGCGCCTATTTTTGGCAACTGTTCTCCATCTATTCCACCCTGAGTATAGTCCTTAGGAGCCGCCTCACAAATGCGCTGAACCTCTTCCGCAGGGGAGGCGATGAGGATCTTTTGCTCCCGGTGGGCCTGGCAGTGAATTTTGTACGTACGTTGGAAGCATGCGAAGATGTGACACTGGGGGCAACTGGGATAAGCTCGAATGTCTGGACCCACCTCAGAAAACGACCATGAATATTCAGGATTTTTTGGGGCCAATACTCGAAGCAAGCCTGTGTGCTGAAAAACACACAGTTCTCACAACAAAAGCCGTGTGACAAGTCTTGTTCGCTTTGGGGCGGGTCCTGGAGCCTGGAAACAAGCCTCGTTTCCAGCTCCCGCTCAAGGGTCGACGAAAAAGTATCAAAGAAACTGCTTCGTTGAATATTGCTGCCAACCTCCTGGTGAAACATTCAACCTCGAGCCACTTCCGAACCTGTGCAGAAAGAAGCAACACCCCAAACGAGTCATAATCAATACCCGAGCAGCGCCAACAAAACGGCTGGCAGTGGTTATGAAGGTTCTTGCAAAGGGGTCTACCATACCCAAAGCCCATGGGAAATGAAAAGGGCCTTTATATCTGCACTTATTCATGGTTAGGATTCTGCCCCCTACCTTCCCACCATATGAAACTGCACAGGATGTTCTTTCCATAGAATGTGTTCCGATTCGTGCCCTTTTGAAACGTTGTATCCGCATGGTTGGGATTCCCCGTACCTTCCATGAAACTCCGCAGGACCCCATGGACTTTGTTCTCCAGGCCTCCTGCACCGCCGCGCGGAGCTCGCTGCGGAGGTCTTCGTCGGCAAACCAGGCCTCGTCTCCGCACAGCTCTGCCCCGTCCACCTGGACATCGCGGGCGCCGAAGTCGCAACACGCGGGATGGCTCAGGCTCGGTCTCCGTTTGCGACGAACCAGGGCAAAAACGGGTTCGGCTCGGGGGTAGCGGAAACAGTTGAGTCTCAACTGCACAGAAAGACTTGCCCGAAGTTCTGCAGCCCCGCAGTTCCGAGGGCTTTCCAAGCAACGAAGCAAACAAGGCTTTGATGCCGGCTCCCTGGCGCCCACTTCCGCGCCTTCAGCTGCTCCAACCGCTCGTCCGGCGTGGGAGGCGGCGCGGGCGCGGGCGCGGGCGCCGTGCCCGGCACCGCCAGCTGAGTGGCGGGCGCCGGCGCCGCTTTGGCGGCGGCTTGCAGCTTCAGGCGCTCCAGGATCTTCTGCCTCGAAGGCTGAGTCAAGCTGAGTCAAGCTGAGTCAGGCTGAGTCCAGCTATGCTTGAAGCCTTTGAGAATTGAATATTCAGGCGAGGAGTCGAGCTGCAGCTCCATTTTTCTTCTGGCCAATGAAATGTGTGTGAGACGACTGCGAGCACCTCGTCAGGAAAGACCTTGCTGCAGGCGGGGCTTCAAATCAGGGCAGGAATTGGATGCCGCAACAAGGACCAAGTTTGGAGATGGAACCCACGTCCTACGAAACTTGGGAACGGCTTGTCACTAGCCATGGCTGCGAATCATTGGCTGCAGTCGCCAGGGGGAAATACAAAGGCCTTCTTACATCCTGTAACGGTTTCTGTGCCCGGGTTGACGGTGTTGTCTTACTCCATCCACATGCAACCGACGGCACATTCCGCGGCATCCAATTTGAAGCCGCATCCGGAAGCCAATGGGAGCCGGAGCCCGGCATCACATCGGGGCGCCGGTCACAATTGCCTCGGCTACTTAGATGTAAGCAACACGAGAACTGATTTTCCTCCAGCAACCGTGTTGGAGTTGTTGCACGACATTTACCCCCTACACAAGTTTTAAAACAAAGGACTAGAAACCTTTGCAATGATAAAAAGGGATTTTGGGCGCTGCTCAATCGCCGCTTTTGCCCTGCCAACTTGCGAATGGCCGAATTGCGTCGCGTAGTCCCAACATGTTTGGCATTTCCGGTCAGCAGTTCTTACTTGCAAGCATCCCCGCCCAAGCGTCGCACTTCAAATCCACTCGCATATTGCGTTGGTGTATTTAATTGATAGTAAACCTGGCATTTTGATGCAACATCTGACGGTCAAGACGGCTTCCTCAATAGGAACCCTTGTCTAAAGTTTTGAAGGGGCGGATGACAACCCTACCAACAAGTAAAGGCGTGCTTTCATCATGGCACATCCGCTTGGCATGAAGTTCCAGAGCTCCAACCAACAAGACCACAGTTTGGCACTAAACGTGCAAGCCGGGCTGCTGTAGCTTCCACCTGGGCGCGAGAGGCTACAGCCGGAGCTGGGGGGCCTTGAGGTGGACATCATTTGCATGGGGTTTATGTCCTTTCTCAACCATTTATGAGCGTGCTCCAAACGTTGCAACTCAAAATGGAATCAGGTCTTAGCATGCTCACCCTCGAGTCCGGTTAGGCGGACCCCCCCCCCGAAATTTCCTAGGCCTCCATCCCAGTCATTCAGCCATTCGGCTGGTCAAACATTGAGCGCTCTGTGTCCTCAAGCTGAATTCGGATGCAGCGAAAAGTGTTTTTGATTGCGAAGGCCAGGCGCAATCTCAGGAGGCATCGGCTTGGCCTTTCCGTTGCAGCTCCTCTTGAAGTCGGCAATCATTTTGAGCGCCGTGTACATGTCCTCGGTTGCCAAAAAAGATTCGGAGACAAACTGCCAGTGCCCTTTTGATACTTGTAGCGCCGCTGTCAGACCCAAATTGGCAGGCCCCCCGACGAACGCAAACACGCACAAGTTCGCCATTAGGAAGCTGTCAAACGTCGCTGGCCAAGCACATCTTGTAGACCCAGCTCAACTTGCTGGCCAGCTTCGTGGGTGAAGCTGGCAAGCGCTTCTATCGTTTGCTCTGCTCTCTCCAGCGCCCCCGGCCCTGGCCCCCGACTTCCAGCCCCAGCCCCGTAAACGCTGAGCACGGCATGTAGCCCACACGAGCTACTTCCCCTCAGCCCAGACCCAGCCAGCTTCAGCCCAGTGCTTCCACTTCGTTGGCCGGCCCCCGCTCGAGTCCGAGTTGGCAATCACTTTGCGCAGCCCAGACTGCTCAGCCGATCCGGCATCATTTGCTCAAGCATTGCTCGTATGGTTCTTTTGAGCCTACCCTCGGGCAGCACGCAGCACTTGCAATAAAACCTTTGCACGTCTTGTGGTCTTTGGAGAAAGGTAGCCAACAGCGGGCGAGGGCGCCCAATGCTTTGTGGCTCGAAGGCTGCCGGCTGATGACAAGGAAACTACTTTTCAAGCTTGAGCTCAAGCCCCTGCGTTCCTGCTATCCTGACGCGACTATTCAAAATCGCCGAGGCACGCATATGGAAGCGTACCAAACGCGGCCCTAGGCGAGGACAAAACAAACCCTGGGTGTTTCACGGGGAAGCTAGATGGAAGGCATCCTTTTCAGGGCTTGCCGAACTTGGAGACACCCCCATACTCTATGGACATGGCTGAACTAGTCAGTACCGCGTTTTGTTAACCTCACATCCTCTTTTAAGGGGATCCCCATTCAAAACACGCCCATATCGGCCACGGTGCTATGCGAGGTCTATTTCCCTGCACATCCCCCCTGGAGGGGCGTGCACGGGACTGCATCTCCTGCTTCCACTGCTGTGCCTCAGCATGTTGCCACATGGGCGTCTTCTTTTGAGGCAGAATCTGAAACGGATGCTTTCCAAAAAAGGTACACTCAAAACAAACACACCTGCATGAGCCTGACTTGAAATTGCAGATCCTTTGGTGGACATCATTTTCTGGAGATGTACTATTAAATATAGATGTCCTGATATCCTCCAACCATGTTGTCCGAGGATGTCCGACTCTTCTGTTGGGACTTCGTGCCAGCTTGAACCCTTCATGGCACAGAACTTTCTGCCAAGTCGCAGCTTGCTTCGCAGCAGCGATTCTTTCCTGCTCTCTCATGTGCGTGCCTTTCTGCAATGGATTTATAGCACTGTAAAGCCGTCCAACATAGTGTAGCCCATAGCAAGGGCAATTCACAGCTTGTCAAATATTTGAAACAAATGTTTGTAATCATTGCATTTGCATGCCTCGATGCGCCTCAAAGCCATTCCATCCAAGGACAGCCATACAAACAGTCCATGTGCTATGGATCACGCGGCAGTTGTTTGTCCCCCAGGCAAAATATAATTATGCCATGAGCCCCTGTCAACGATCACAACCTTCCAAAACGAGGGATGCACATAAGATTATATCCCTCGCACTCTTGGTCATGTTGGTCAGGGCCAAAAAAAAAGAGCCTCTGTGCTCTTCGCACTGAGTTGTTCTTGTTTTGGGCGGCAATCTCCCGTCCTGCTCCCGCTTGTCCTCATCATCCTCATTGCCAAAAGCGAAGGCGTTGGCCAGCTTGGCCTTCCTTCGCTTCTCTTCCTGGCCAACCGAGCTCAAGCAGTGTGGCGGTCAGGCGGTGCGGTGGTCAGGCGGTGTGGCGGTCAGGCTTGCCTCCATCCGCTTCTGCTTCTCTTCAGCAGCCTTTTGCTTCTGCTCCTCATACTCATGGGTGGCCTCTTCAGTGACCACCTCAGGTAGGACGGACAAGCAGCAGCGTTCCATGTTTGATTTCCTCAAAAGGGAACCCCTGGGTCTGAGTCGACTTGGGGCTATACAAAAGTGGAACCCTGGTCGCAGCGCAGAAGCTGCCTTGGGCCATTTCTTCAGCCGGCCTCAAGCTAGGCGCTCCGTTGCTCCATGTATAGCATCCTTTCAGACACCGGGCAGGTCCAGTTCAGGGAGGAACCGACAAAAGAGCTCTGGCAACTTCGCCATGAGGAAACTGTGGAAATCAAAATCGGGGACCCCAGAATGAAATGGACCCCAATAAGGGCTTTCCCTTCTCCCAAAAGAAAACCAGCGGCGAATGACCAGACCCAGACCCCTGCTGCTGGGCCCCATGCCCAGCTGCCGGAGGAAGCTTCCCTCGGGCAGCGGAGCTGAAGTCGGACAAATGGAGCCCCCGGACAGTTAGGGTGTGTCTCAAAATAGGGGAGACCCCCTTTTGGAGGAAACGAGCTGGTAAAAAGCCAGGTGACACAGCTTTCGCCTCCAGGTTTTTTCAACAGCATGTGACCTTTTTGGATGATTCTGATGGAAAACCACAAGGAAACCAACATGAATTCCCTGATCTTGAGAAACAGCCATCAAGGTTTAAGGCCTTAAACAGGGTGGAACCCTCTTCTCGAGTGGCCTAATGGCATCTTGAAGCTTCCCTGGAAAATGGCCCTGCCAAACACTGGCAGCCCATCATGCTGCAGTAAAAGCTGGCCAACCGGAATTGAAGAACAAAATGGCAATCTCAACGCAAAACACAAAAAATGGCCGGCCGCCCCGGAGAATGCGTCACACCAGCTTGACCCTGCGGTCTATGCGTTGGCCGAACCCTTCCTGCCACAAGCTGGGCCGAACCCGGGGCCCCCGCTGGGTGGAGGACACCCAGCCGCACTCCTCGGGAGCGAAGGAGCTCACGGCCTCGGGCCCCCCAGATCAGCGTGGCACGTGCACTCAGTGCAACCGAGAGCACGGCCGAGCGCTCAAGGCCTATGCCGGCCTCGCCTGGGGACCAAGATGCGCTCCAGTCCTTTGGGTTTCCCTTTTAACGCACAAAAGGGGCACCCGCGGGCCCATCTCGCCTTTCTCAAAATGCAACCTCCTTCTCTTGCCGTGGCGGTTTTTGCCGACTGTTCTCTGATCAACAAGTAGCTATAAGTGGTGGATATATGTCTAGACCACAGCTCCGCTGCTATCGAGCTTTGCCAAGGTAGCACCCGCCAGGTTGCAGACCTGCAGCCCACGCTTCTTCTTGCAAGGCTTCTTCAAACCTCCTGGCACTCAGCAGCTCCAAACATGCGGATGACATGGATATTCTTGTCCGACTTTTTGGTCGAGGGAATCAATCATTGCAACCGCCAAGCGTTTGGGAGGGTATCTTAAGCATTCAAAGTCATGTGTCTTCAAGAAAGAACCAGGGGCTGCAGCTTGTCTCAATGCTAAGGCTTCAAGGAAGGGCATGAAATTAGACATGTGCCGAAACCCAAAGGCAAACCCGCAGAAGGCACCGGAGCAAGAAAAGAGGAAACGAATAAGCAAGCTAGGCTTACTGTAGATTGGATCTTGGTTGAGTTTCCTCACACGACAAAAGGCGCGCACCCCTGACATTCCCACAAAGAAATTGCGATCAACATGGGCCACCTTTGGGTGATGTTTGAATTACCACCCAAAAATATATCACAAGATCCACCCCTGGCATCCTGCCTCCTTGCTCCACGGCTGGAATCATGCCGAGGGACCTTCCCGCTCATGTACAGTCACTGCACGAATTTCAATATGAGGACCCACCCCCTGAAATTGGCTGGGGTCTTTTGCAAGGACACCACCAACTGGTATCAGATGTGTCAAGGACTGATTTTGAACCAACTGCCATGCCACGCCTCCTCCGCCTTTGCCCGCTCGCGCTCGCGCTCGCGCTCCCGGTCGCGCTCGCGCTCGCGGGGGGGCGAGCGAGAGTCACGCCTGGCGAGAAGCTGTGCCTTGAAGAGAAGCTCCAAAGTATCAGCCAAAGACATTGCAAAGCAGACCAAACTTGTGAGTATCACATCTCTCTGCGCTATGGCTTGCCGCGCATCAGAGAAGCTTGCGCCTGTCTTTGACGTGCCGGTTCTCCTGCAAAAAAACTCCACGGGCCGACGACCTTCGACTTCAAGGCGAAGGGGCAGCCCCCGGCGAGACAATGTATCGAGAAGTGGGCAACTCGGCAACCCCCACCCGCGCCAAAACAAAGCTTGAAACGGACCCCCAATTCAGCACGTGTGTGTGTGTGCGCGCATGTATGTGTGTGTGTGTGTGTGCGTGTGCGAGCGTGTGCGTGCACGTGTGTGTGTGTGTGTGTGTGTGTGTGTGTGTGTGTGTGTGTGTGTGTGTGTGTGTGTGTGTGTGTGTGTGTGTGTGTGTGTGTGTGTGTGTGTGTGTGTGTGTGTGTGTGTGTGTGTGTGTGTGTGTGTGTGTGTGTGTGTGTGTGTGTGTGTGTGTGTGTGTGTGTGTGTGTGTGTGTGTGTGTGTGTGTGTGTGTGTGTGTGTGTGTGTGTGTGTGTGTGTGTGTGTGTGTGTGTGTGTGTGTGTGTGTGTGTGTGTGTGTGTGTGTGTGTGTGTGTGTGTGTGTGTGTGTGTGTGTGTGTGTGTGTGTGTGTGTGTGTGTGTGTGTGTGTGTGTGTGTGTGTGTGTGTGTGTGTGTGTGTGTGTGTGTGTGTGTGTGTGTGTGTGTGTGTGTGTGTGTGTGTGTGTGTGTGTGTGTGTGTGTGTGTGTGTGTGTGTGTGTGTGTGTGTGTGTGTGTGTGTGTGTGTGTGTGTGTGTGTGTGTGTGTGTGTGTGTGTGTGTGTGTGTGTGTGTGTGTGTGTGTGTGTGTGTGTGTGTGTGTGTGTGTGTGTGTGTGTGTGTGTGTGTGTGTGTGTGTGTGTGTGTGTGTGTGTGTGTGTGTGTGTGTGTGTGTGTGTGTGTGTGTGTGTGTGTGTGTGTGTGTGTGTGTGTGTGTGTGTGTGTGTGTGTGTGTGTGTGTGTGTGTGTGTGTGTGTGTGTGTGTGTGTGTGTGTGTGTGTGTGTGTGTGTGTGTGTGTGTGTGTGTGTGTGTGTGTGTGTGTGTGTGTGTGTGTGTGTGTGTGTGTGTGTGTGTGTGTGTGTGTGTGTGTGTGTGTGTGTGTGTGTGTGTGTGTGTGTGTGTGTGTGTGTGTGTGTGTGTGTGTGTGTGTGTGTGTGTGTGTGTGTGTGTGTGTGTGTGTGTGTGTGTGTGTGTGTGTGTGTGTGTGTGTGTGTGTGTGTGTGTGTGTGTGTGTGTGTGTGTGTGTGTGTGTGTGTGTGTGTGTGTGTGTGTGTGTGTGTGTGTGTGTGTGTGTGTGTGTGTGTGTGTGTGTGTGTGTGTGTGTGTGTGTGTGTGTGTGTGTGTGTGTGTGTGTGTGTGTGTGTGTGTGTGTGTGTGTGTGTGTGTGTGTGTGTGTGTGTGTGTGTGTGAAGCGTCCTGGAGCACGGACGGAAATTCCACATTGCAGGGGGACTGGAGCCGATTTGCCTATCCAGTCCAATGAAGCTACGGCATTTCGGTGGATACCGGATCTGATCAATCCGGCGTACCTGCCTATTTCCTGACCCTCTTTCCTGATTCTTTTTGCGGTTTCTGTTTGTCGCTGTTGCTTCCTGTTCGGTGTCGATGTTGTGACCTGTTGATTTGCATTTGCATTCAAGCATTTTTACTGACTGCGTTTTGCATCTCGGCTAGTGAAGCCTCTCGAGATAAGTGTGTTTACCCACGGCCTGTCCGACATGGCGCTGTGGGCTGGACTCGCCATATGCGGGAGCCCCCTGCGAGGGGAAGACCGTTCAAGTGTTCAAGTTCAAGCTGCAGTTCAGTTCAGCGCATTTGACCACGATCAAGGCTGCAGCTTGAGGTCTTAAGGTATTCCGCACCCTACTGGTGCTCTGCTGGTTTCATGCGCCTGCACTGCCTGCACTGCCTGCCTTTGAAGCAAGGCTGCACCCACGAGGTTTCAGGCTCCTAAGCTTCATGCGCCAGTGACGAGTTGGTCAGACACCAACTCTGCAATTCGTAGCGTTCATGGAAGCTTTCGTCTCGGATGAGTTCAGTTCAGATTCATCGGCATAGCCACATGAGCCACATGAGGCCCTTTCATGAGGCCACTTGACAGGCACCTCTGAGAACCCCTGTGTGCTCGCATGCATTTCTGTGAAAACTTTTGCCGTTGCCGCGGGGTTTTGGCGGTCCCCTGGTGGAATTCCCTCTGTTTGGTTTCGATTCGCAGGTTGAAGTCGGCTCGCATGCATTTGCACCTTTGACGCTTTTCTGCTGCAGGTGTGGTTTTGTTTTCACCCCTTTCCAACCTTCTCTCTCCCTTGCGAGATGGCTGGACACCAGCTCTATGACATGATGCATTCGCTCCTGCACAGCATTGCGACCGGCACCGCGTCCGGCTCACCAGGCAATTGTGGACCGAACTTGCAGCTGTCATCCCAGATGACGCAGCCCATGAACCTTGTACCGTCACCCAACTCGCAGACGGCATCCTTCACACCTTTCCCCATGATGCCCTACGGCGGCCTCTCGAACTTTGGCAACCTGATGGCCATGATGCCCTACGGTGGCCCTCCCAATTACGGCAACTTGGCACCTGGCACCATCATGCCTTTCATGACTCAGAGCAGCATGCCATCTTCACTGCCCGAGCCTCAGCCGGCGCGCGCGCCCGAAGCTGCCGCTGCGGCTCCTGCCGCTACCTCCTCAACCACCCACCCTCCCCCGGACACTCGGCACCCTCCCCACTCTCGCAGATCCCGTTCCCGCCACAGGCAGCACCGACACTCCCACTCCCACACCACCCACCATCGCAGGCACAACAAGTCGCACCGACGACACGACACCCGACGATCCCGCAGCTACAGCAGGTCACGTTCCCCTTCCCGACACCTCCACCACTCCCGACGTGCATACCACTCCACTGTCTCCCTCCGCTCCCGCTCCCCCCGACACAGGTCCCACCATCGACACTCCCCTGCACCCAGAGCCACGACTTCGCACCGACCCACTCACACTACTCATGATTCCACCTCCTGGCGCACTTCCGGGAAGGACTCCTGGCGCACTTCCGGGAAGGATCCCAACAAGTCTCAATGGTCCTCCTCACACTGGCGGAACCAATCGTGGGGATACCCACCACAGAACAAAAACCGCTGGGACATGCACCACCACGGCGCCAGCCACATCGGCCACCGAAACAACCAGGACAAACGATCGTCCTGGTCACTGCAGCACCATGGGCAGCAACCCCACCCCACTTCCCGCACCGGCCACCACAACACCAGCTTGCCCCCTCGCCCAGCACCTGCGGCGGCCTTCACTTCCACTCCTCCTCCCCCTCCCCCTCCCCGACCCACGCCGGCTACTCCTCACCCTCCCCAACCCCCCTCCGACAACACCGGTGATTTGGATCCCCCTCCATCGGAGGCGGACATCAACGCCACCACCACTTCCGACAACCGGTGGCTTGATCTATGGAGAAACGTCATGGACACGGCCAAGACTGACCCGCTGCGAGTTCCCACGCCTAGGGAGTTGGGGGAGCTGGACCCGCTTCCAGCCTTGAACATCTCCAGGATGGAACAGACTAAGGCCATTTTGATGGACCTGGACCCTGCCTTGCCACCTTCACATGCCGATCTCCTCGCGGAATGCTGGGAACTGCGAACCATGGACACGGATGATCCCATACCGTTCGATCCCAGCTTCTACCACCTCTTGGGACGGGAATCACACGGCATGGTGTTCGCAACCACTTGGTTTCCCCGACCTCACCCTTGGCCAGTTGCTGGCGGAGACCCGGAAGCTGGATCCGGTGTCATGTATGTGCACGGCACCACCCCGGATCGAGCGCGCCGCATGTGCCATGAGAACATGATCCGACCCGCTGCTTGGAGGCCCGAGAACCATGACTACCCGAGCTTTGGATGCTACGCTCAGGCCACCCCCACGGCATGCACGCCCGACACGCTCGGCCAGCTCTTGCAGAACTTTACAATCGGAAAGTCTCAACTCGGCGCCATCGCTTTTGGGAAACTACGCTCCATCAATCAGCACAAAATCCTCGAATCCGGGGGAAGCCACGAGGATCAACACAACGTGCGGCGCCACTTCGCATGCCGCCGAGGCAAAAAGTGGTGCCTTCACTCCAAGTTTGCGATGCTGAGAGGCATCGCGCTGCAGCGCCCGGCTTAGCGGGGCGCAAGTGTACCATCTTCCACCCAACCAGGAAAAGAATTGGTGCACTGTTTGATCGCCTTTTTCTTTGCTTTGCTGTTCTGCCTTTCTGCGACCGTTTTCTCGCCTTGTGACCTTACCCGCTTGATTCCGCTCACCAGCTTTTTGGTTCGAACTTTTCCTTTTCCCCCGTGTTTTTCGCATGGCTTTCCAACCCCCTCGAGGTTTGGTTCCGATGCTCCAAAGGCAAAACTTACCACCGCAGCCTTCGCCCACGGCATCCCATCATCACGGCATCATGTCCGGCAACAACATGGCCGGAAACCCGTGCGGGGCCCTGTCCGGACCTTCCTACGGATGCTCTTCCACGACATGGACACCGCCAACTACACATCCGACTCCCTGTCAGACCTACGGCCAACCTAGTCCCCATTTCCCACCACACCCCGGCCCTCGTCCTCCCTCCTGTGGCGGCTCTCTCCCCCCCCCTCCCGGCGGCAACCCCTTTCCCCCCCCTCCCCCCGGCAACTTCACCCGCCCTCCACCTTCCCCCTCCCCCTCCACCGCCTCGCAAACCAAACCTCCCCCGGCACTTCGACCCGTCCACTCAGTCCCAACACCAGCCGAGTTCAACCCTGGCGACGATCACTACGACACCACCCGCGTCGCGGGGTACGACCTGCCCAAGGTCATAACGCACACCGCGTTTACTCGGCAAATGGGCATCGAGGGACAAGACATCGCCCGCGTCCCCCTCCTCCACCTCATGCACGAACAGTGGAACAGTTGGTGGTTGCGTCACCTCGCCCACGGAGGCGAAGTCCGCATCGTTGTCGCAAAGTCGATGCCGGAATCAGTGTTTGCTGCTGGACTACTCAGCCAAATCCGACACCGGCACCTCGACCTGGACGCCCTCGCCCTCCATGTCGCCACGCAGGAGGGCGCCTCGACCACCAAACCAGCAGCCATGAAGCTACTCACCAACAAGATCTTCGACTTCCTCATCTCCCTCCGACCCACCACTACGGCCGATCCGGCCTCCGCGGCCACCATACTCCAGCTTCAGCAACAGCTTGCTGACGCACACAACCAACTCGCCCAGCAGGCTTCATCCCACCCTCTCCCCCCCACACCCACCTCATCCAACAAACGCCCAGCCGATCCATCTCAGGCCTCCCTCCTGGACTTCGGCATGAAGCGACCACGGTTGA